TGACACGCTGGAGGCGGACCTGTTTGATGATGAAGAAGGAAATGGTGTGGGGGAAGTGGGGCCTCTGGAGGAGGAGGAGGATGAGTTTTATCCCGACAGCAGCCGATGGGAAGCAGGAGAAGAGGAGGAGGAAGAGGAGGCAACTAAACCTCCTCCTCCTCCTCCTCCTCCTCCTCCTCCAGCAGCAGCAGCAGCAGCAGCAGCAGCAGCAGCATCAAGGATCCCAGAGAAGGTAACTGTGTTTTATCTTCAGTAGTTTTGTGGTTGATTTTTATTTCCTCATAAAAACCAGGAAAAAAAAAAATGAGTCATGTTCAACCAATGAAAAATAATCAAATGAGGAAACGTCACAAACTGGAACTTAAACTTTCAGATTTTGTAAAACTCGGTGACGTTGATGTGATTATCTGGACAATAAATTAAACTGCTCCTCCTCTTCATCACTGCTTTGTTTTCTTCGTCCAGGTGAACAAGGAGACAAGTATAGACGGTTTGTCGTCATCTCACCACTGCTCCGTGGTCCGGCCTAAAGAGCGGCGCCCCGACGTCCACCAGCAGAACCCGTTCATGAGAGGGAACACCATCATCCGCTCCAAGACCTTCTCCCCCGGACCTCAGAGCCAGTACATCTGCAGGGTGAGAGACCAGCGGAGCGATGAAGTCAGCGATGATCAGCAGAAGTGAAACATCACGGTTTTATCTCTGTTTGCTTCTTCTTCTTCTCTTGTCAGATAAACCGCAGTGACAGCGACAGCTCCACGCTCTCCAAGAAGTCGCCGTTCGTCAGAAACGCCTCAGAGAGACGCAGCATGCGCATGAAGAAGGTGAAAACAACTTTTCTATACCTGTCTTCTTCTTCCTCCTTCTCCTACTCTGTCCCCCTTTCTTCTTCTTCCTCCTCTTTGTCTCTTCTACCTCATATTCCTCTTCCTCCTTGTCTTTTCCCCTTACTCCTCTGCCTTCAATTCCTCCTCTTTCTCGTCTTCTCTTCTGAATTGTCCTCTTCCTTGTTCCTCTTCCTTATTCCACTTCCTTATTCCACTTCTCTTTTCTTCTCCTCCTCACCCTCCTGCTTCCTCCTCATGTTTTTCCAGTAAATGTTGTAGTCACAAATGTTAAACCTTTTTGCGATGTTATTTTTGTTCTTACTTATTTTCCCGTCCTCTCTGCAGCCTCCTGTGCAGGTTAAAGGTCTGGACGGGCTCCTGCGGACGTCTCTGGACCTGGAGTTGGACCTGCAGGTTTCTCGGACGCGACAGGCCCGGCTGGCGCAGGAGCTGCGGGTTCTGCGGGAGCTGAAGACGCAGCTGGAGAAGGCGAGACAGCAGGGCCAGAGAGAGCTGCCCGCCTGGGTCCAAGAAGACGAACGCTTCCGCCTCCTCCTCAAGCAGGCGGAGAAACAGGTGAGCGACTGTCATGCATGGAATCAGTCCACAGGAAGTTCATCCGCTTACTATGTCTGAAGTGAACGTCTCCTCGCTCGTCTTCCTGTTCAGACTCGAGAGGAGCAGCTGCAGGAGAAACGAGTGGAGAAGATGATGCGAGCAGCAGCCAAGGATGTCCACAAGATCAGGGGCCAGAGCCGCAATGAGGTTCCTGAGGTCCAGACCTTCAGGTGAGAGACACAGCAGCTCACATGTTCCTCAGGTGTATCAGGGCAGGAAATCAGCTGTAGCGCCCCCTGCAGCCACTCGCCACAGTTACAAATAGCGAGAACAGATGTTCAGTGAACCATCAAACTAATTTTAATCAAACTGCTGTTTTATGGTATAAAAGAGTTGCAGTGTTGATTTAAGATTCAGCTATAGCTACATAGCCAGCATTAGCATTAACAGCAGTTTTTTGTTTTCAATAAAAGAGGTCGAGTTTCTCTAATTGAACACCAGAGGGAGCCCATCAGAATGAAGTGTGGCAGCAGGGGGCGCTGTTGCTCTGTTGCAAAGTTTAAATCGTCATTGTTTCACGGCTCGTTCACTGACCTTCAGTTCTTTTGTTCCGTGTGATTCCAGAGAGAAGATGGCGTTCTTCACACGAGCAAAGACCAGCATCCCCGACCTGCCAGCCGACAACGTGTAGAGAAGCATTTCAAAGTACCCCCCACCCCCACCACCCCCACCACCACCACCCCCCACCCCCCAGTCTTAACCTGCTGTTCCCACAAATGAAGCAAATGTTTTTCGCGGTGTTATGAAGAATTTAAAAAGTATACGATATGTTTTAGTACAAAAACAAACAAAAAAAAAACGTGAAGAAACAGATTTTTAAAAAAAGAGCTTGTTTCTACTGTGGATAGTGTTCATTTGTAAATTAGTGACAGCACTGCTTTCGTTTTTATTTCACTCTGTTCATGTCTCTTCATGTCTTTGTGTTTCTGTTACTAACAGGATGTTTATAGGCTTTTAAAATCATTCCAGCACAAAGTCACTCAGCTGCGTACAAAGAGTTTTGTACTAAAACGGCACATTGGGACATAAAGAATAAACTTTATGTTTATCGGTAGCACAAAATGAAATCAGACGACGGTACGAGAGGAAAGAAAAGCAGCTTCAGCCGGTGATGAAACTAAAAGAAATATCTGCTCCTCAGAGATATTTGAAAGTTAAAACAATGTGTTTTTGAAAACTTTATACTCAGACAAACGTACAAGCACACACTTGGTTTTTTCCTTTACAAAATGTTGTTATTGTGTTTCCTCACCAGACACTCGTGCATCTCCTCCGCACATGTGAACATGGATCTGAGAGCAGCTCGGTTTTCTCTGACAGTCGTTGTTTGTAACCAGCGGAGCTGCACAGTTTATTTCTCTGTTTCCTTAAAGTTATAATTCAGATTGTTTCACGTCAAAACCCATTTTTACACGATTTAAGACGACGCTGTCGGTTTTGATCGCATCTCGTACTCACACAGTTGTTCTTGTCTTGTATTTCCACTTCTCTTGGTGTTTACTGACCCCTGGTGGTCGAAACACGTGTCGTTTCTAACCAAATCATCGAGGACTGAAATCTTAAGAATTATAACTTGAATATTTCCAAATCAAACACAGTCACTGGGTCGACCTCCTGAAGCGTGTCTGACGTGCACAGTCTTGTATCGTCTGATTCTTACAACACGATAACTCGCAGAAGAAAAAACTGGACTCTTTACCAACACGACAAAAAGAACTGGATGTGACTCCTCCTGTGTTGTCACGATCGTCACACACACACACACACACACACACTCATGGAGATGTAGAAACAGCACTAACACTCAGGTAGTTGATCGGATAGTCTGCACTTTAAGAAACTCGCGGTAAAGTTAAAAAAAAAAAAAAAAAAAAACGTGCTGGAATGATTGTTGTTGAAAAACGCAGGAAGTGAAGATCCGATGTGTTTTGATGACTGTGAACTTGATTCTTTGATTGTTTGACTGGAAGTGACTAAAACCCCGCCCCCATCACAAGAACTCGCCAGCAGCCAGTAGGAAGACAGACGTTCTCCTGAGCTTCACTCTGATTGGCTGATTAAATACTGTTTCGTCAGGTTTTCATAATCCTGATGTTTTCTCTCTGTAACTGGATATTTTTAGAACTGCACATTAACATGGTGCCCAAGCAAACGTCTTAAACTCAATGTTGTTCATTTGGATCATAACTTTATTGTTTCGGTTGACTCTCTCGGCTCTCGTAGCGTCAGACGCACGTCTTGAGCTGCAGAGCTCGATCTTTGCTTCAGGAGTCGGTGGAGAAAAGAAACATTCAATCTGACTCTTTCAGAAATAATTTAGATTCCATTCAATTATATTTTATAATTTGAGGTGTGAACCGACACCATGACGCTTGTGCTGGGTCGCCATGCTAAACGTGTGTTACTGATCCGCCCACGTGACACAAACGCTTCGTCGTCATCTTTCTGTTCCCGGTGAAAACTCGAATGTTGCTGACAGAAGTCCGGATGCTGCTGTCGTCGTCATTCCAGATGTGTCTTATTTGAACTGTTCGTAGAAACGCAGCAGCTTTTTTAAAAAAAGATCAGAGAATCCTGTTGAGCATCTGTCGCCTTCATTAAAAGACCAACGGAGGAGGTTTTGATCTTTAGAAATGTCTCCACTTCCTGTTTCCTTCTTTGTACGTCCCTCTTAGAAAACGTTTTAATTCTCGTTGTTACGATAAATAAATACTGAAAACAGAACCAGTGATTGTTTCACCACGTTCAGGTAGAAGTAGGAATATATCTTTGCACAAACGATGTCTATGAAAGTAACACGTATCCTTCACGTTCATGATGATCACACAACAGAAGACTCACGTCGCCTTGTGGTGAAAAATAATTCACGTTTGGAAACTGAATCAGACGCTGAGAGGACGATAACGACCAGGCTGCGTTCGCTCCGCAGGAAATAAACATCTGACCAGGATTCCGACACGAGATCAGTCTGAACAGTCGATCAAAATCAGATCAATACCAAAGATTTAACCGCTCGTGTTCACACTGAAATCAAAACGCTGCTTTGGCAAATTAAAGTAAAATCGAATAAAGCAAAAATAAAACCAGTTCATTTTCTTGACGGGTGGAGTTTCTTCAGGGGGAAGAACTTTGAACCTTGCGGGTTATTGTCCACGCGTGGATTCAACGATGTGTTTAAAAAGAATGTGGGTGTGTTAGCACGTAGCGAAGCAGCTTAAGTTCATGCGTTATCGGACAAAACGTGCCGAACTAGGGGAAGTGTAAAAGATGCGTACATTTAGATCCGACTGTTCAGACTGACGTCATGTCAGAATCAAAGTCACGTGAGTGCCCCCTGCTGGTGAACGCAGCCTCGTGCGGGTTATTACTGGAACACTGTGAAATGAATGAAAGTCTACGGAGTCGTGATGGTGCCTTCAGAGAGTACGGAAGACGATCAGGGCCTTGTTAAACTTTTAAGTCTTTAATTCTTTCTGAATTTATTTTTACGTAGCTCTAATCATCTTCTGTAGAGAGCAACATATAAACTGTTATTTTTAATTTCCTGTTTTCTTCTTTTATTTCTTTTTGTGCCCAAACAACCATCTGACCGCAGAGAAGTCGAACCTGTGGAGAAACGTTTGTGTTCATTTTCAAGATGTAAACAGTTTATTTTTTATTTTCCTCCGCGTGTAGACGGAGTAGATTTGAATAATAGGACTGTGTGTAGTCGTCTGTGTCGTTAAAATCCACTTTGTCATGATCGAATGTTGTTTAACCTTTAAATCAAAAAAACACTTGTTATCAGTAACGTCTGGATGAAGGAATGTAGGTTTTTATTTTGACAAATCATGAGCATTCAGAAAATAAAAGAAATGCTGTTCGTCACGATTGTTTTTCATCCTGTAGGTTGTGATTTAATTTCTTCTTGAAGTTTAAGTGCATTTTTTTTTTCCTTGTTTGATGAATTTTTTATTCTAATGAATCTGTTTGTGTTGCGACTGGTGATGAAGCTGGTAACGAGCACGGAGGCGACTACGAGAAACATACAGCATGTATTTATTGCACTTTTGTGATTTGGGTGTGCTTTTCCTGTTTTTTTTGTTTTTTTCTTTTTATCGCGAGAGTCCCGAAAAGCTGTGAATTTTATTCTCGGACACTGTTCTGTCGACCAGAGTTGTAAATATTTCACCAGCACAAAAAAAAACAAACAACGACATGTTTTGTAGTTTCACAACAAATTAAAAAAAAGAAAGTTCTTCTCTTCTATTTGAACGTGTTTGTTCTTTATTGTTTATAATCAAACCAGGAGCTGTTTATTAACAAAAACATTCAATAGGAAATGTTGCAAATTTATAACAAATAAAAACAAAGGTTTTAAAACAGATTTTGACACAAGATGGAGGACGAAGGACGCGTCAGGAGCTTTTTGGCCCTCGAGGGTCTCCGGCACCTTCTGAAGTATTTCGTTATTTTAGTAACAATTTGATGCATCGCAGTATTTGAACATTTTTGGTTCATGAGGAAAAATACATTCTGTTCCATTCAATTTAGTGCTACTCTATTCTACTCTACACTACTCTATTCCATTCTACTTTATTCCATTCTATTCTACGCTATTCAATTCATTTTATTCATTCTATTCATTCTATTCTACTCTACACTACTCTTCCATTCTACTCTATTCTATTCCACTCATTCCATTCTACTCTAATTTACTCTATTCTATTCATTTTTCTCTATTCTATTCTATTTTATTCTATTCTATTCATTCTACTCTATTCTATTCATTCCTTTCTACTATACTCTACTCTGTTCTGTTCTATTCCATTCCATTCAATGTTATTTTATTCATTCTACTCTATTCTATTCTATTCTACTGTAGTTTACTCTATTCTATTCCATTCTACTCTATTTTACTCTATTCTATTCATTCTACTCTATTTTACTCTGTTCTATGAAGCCGGAGTCGTTACACACCTCCGACACCAGGTGGCGCTGTCCTCCCTGTAGAGCTGTTTGACAGCCGCTGTTTGACCCCACGAAGAAGAAGTAGACCGGAAGAGTTTATAAACTTTGACGCTCTTCCTCTTCTTTCATCAGCCACGAGAGTCTCCACCTCCTCTCCACCTCCTCCTGCTCTCTACCTTCTCCTCCTCCACCTCCTCCAGCAGCGGACCAGCTTCTCCTCGGTGCGGGAACCATGTCAGACCCAATGAGCGACTGCACAGCCCGGCTCCAGCAGCAGGTACCACCCGCTCTCAGCTCACGTTAGCCCGGCGTCACACAGCTCCACACACCGGTCCGCTCCCCGGTCCGCCGAACCTCATTCAGAGAACTGTCCATTTAAAATGTTTCCGGCTTTTACTGGAACCAACAACACGAACAAACGAAATGAATTCAACAGTTTGCCACTTTTGTTACTTCTCTAAAGTTCGGCGAACACACATTACATCTTAAACAGCTTAAAGTAAAAATATTTCAGTTTTTATATGTGGTTGTCATGTGTTGAGTTTGTTCAGAGTTTTATGAATTAATCTTTATTTCTGTTTTTAAAAGACGTTAATAAAGTTACTTGAGTTTAAAAGTTGTGTAACTGCACTGGTGGAGGATTTGTTCATTTTTGATGCTTAAATTCATTAATATTTAATTTCTTTCATTAATTAAATCTTTAGAATCTTTGGAACTACAGTTAATCACGTTTTAATAAATGTATTGAAGATTCTTCTCGAACAAAACATCCTGAAATACTTTTTAAAAATCTTATTATACAACGTAATTACACGACTAATCATAGAGTCGATGGAAAGAAAATCAATCTGCATCTGTTGTGATAATTCATTAGTTAAACGATAGAAACAAGAGTTTGAAGTTGTGTTTGTTTTATCGTGAACAACTTTCTGTTTCACTCTGATTCACTCAGTCTGATTCTGAGAAATGTTTTATGGAGGAATTCGTTATCAGATATTTTCTCTTAAAGTTGAACCAGTGGTTGATAAACACATTTGAATTAATTTCGGTTTACTGAGATTAAAATTCAAAATATTAATGATTAAAAAGTCAGTGTAGAAAATAACAGAAAGTGAAAGGAACCAACATTACAGTTATATTACTCTTCTTCCTCTTTATCATATTTACAATAATCATCCACTAAGTTAATCATTACATATCCTTCAGTTTGGGGCTTTTCTATGTTTTTACAGATGAGAACCATGAAAACTTTACTGAGTCAGTTATTAACAGTTTCTGTTTTGATTCTACCGGCTGATGTCACAGGGTTATTTTGAAACCTGACGTGAGGTCGTGAGCAGCTGCCTCTGTCTGTGGGTTCTGGTGGATTCATGGATGTTTATGGACAGAATGTGTCCGAAGATTAAATCCTTGGAACGTGTAAAAATAAGATCTGAGTGAATTATGATAAGAAATGATAAGAATCTCAGCTGTGTCTCACTGTTATGATGAAAAACCAACAAGTTACATCACAACGGCCTCTTTGCTTCCATTTTTATTTTCAGGAGCAGGAGATCAAGATTCTCTCTGCAGAGATTGAGGGTCTGAAGAACCCTCAGAACCTGGGTCCGTCTCCTCAACTGGACGAGCTGCGCGAGGAAAACGCCAAACTGAAATACCGACTCAACATCCTGAAGAGGGTGAGACAGGGGAGGAGTGGGGGGGGGGGGGTTAGAGGGAAAGAGGAAACAAGACAAAAGTTTGCTATAATGAGCATGGAGGAAGGGGCAGGGGGGGGGGGGGGGGGGGGGGGGACGTCTTCCTGTTTATCTGAGCGGGGAACCTGACTTCTTCTTGTTTGTGGTCAGAGTCTTCAGGACGACCGGAGTTGCTGCAGTAAATCCATGATGAACATCAACCTGCTGCTTCAGGAGGTTTTCGGCGAGGCCATCCGAGCTTCCTGTCCTGAGCTGGACAACCCCCCGCTCGTTGTCACGCCAAACCAGCAGGCCAAGTTCGGAGACTACCAGTGCAACAGCGCCATGGCCATGGCTCAGGTTAGAGTCTACGATCTGAACCAGCACTATCTGAGGAAATCACCCTGACAACTAAAGAAACAAAGGAAATCCCAACTTCTGTTAAAAAAACTATTTTTACTTTCCGTTGGAAAAAAACAGAGCGGAGCTCAGAAAGCAGTTTCTTATAATGTGTCATGTTTTTATATGAATGAACAGTTTGAACATGAACTTGATTCACAGCAGCAGCACGGATCAGGTTAAAAGTGTAAAACTTCATGTTTCATAGCAGCAAACTTCTGGATCTGCAACGTGTCGGCATCGTGTTTCTCTCTGGAGATGAAATAAATTGGTTTTGTTAAAACTCTCTTTGTGTCGTTCAGATGTTGAAGGCGAAGGGAATCAAAATCAGCCCGAGGGAAATCGCAGAGAAGATCATCCAGAATCTTCCAGACAACGAACTCATCCAGAAAACTGAAATCGCAGGACCAGGTAATAATAATAATAATAATAATAATAATAATAATAATACAATAATAATTTAATGATAATGTAATAATAATAATAATGATAATAATTATAGTGTAATGATAAATAAAACCAGATATTTTATTTACTCATATTACTCATAATCACTTTTTATACTCGTCAGCAGACGAACAAGTTAATATCAGAACAAATGAGTCTCGCACCGGTTACTACTGTGACTCCTCCTCGTCCTCCTCCTCGTCCTCCTCCTCGTCCTCCTCCTCGTCCTCCTCGTTCTCCCTCTGATGTCTCAAATGTCTCCAGGTTTCATCAACATCCACCTGAAGAAGACGTTTGTGTCCAAACTGTTGAGCAACCTGCTGGTGAACGGAGTTCAGCCGCCGCCGCTCGCCTCCAGGAAGAAGGTTTGTGTTCAACACTTGACTTCATCACAAATCCGATCGGCTCCTCACGTGTTCAGTTTCAGGGTTTTTTTTTAAGCTGGTTTCAAACTTGACACTTTGACTTTTTCTTGCATCAAACATTTTAGTTTTAAAGCAAACATTAGTTGTTTCAGAACAGATTCTCTAATTGTTCTTATTGCTCTTGTTACTAGTTGAGTATCTGTTGTTGTTCAGGTGGTGGTGGACTTCTCGTCTCCTAACATCGCCAAAGAGATGCACGTGGGTCACCTGCGCTCCACCATCATCGGGGACAGTATGTGTCGAATGTTCGAGTTCCTCGGCTACGACGTCCTCAGGTGAGTTCACGTCGCTGTGATGTCACAGTGCTAAGCTAAGCTAAGTTAATCCTCTCAACCACTGGCTGCAACTAAAGATGGACGCCACGACAGCCTGAGACTGAAGCCAAATCGTGTCCGTCTCCCCCTGGTGGCTGGCTGCACTATAGGTCATAAACCCTGCCTCCTCCAGGTTAACAGATGGGACATGGACCAAACTTAAAACTCAAAGTAGTCGAGGATAGTTTGGTTTTAATGAGATAAACATGGATATGGTGACACATCTCAGATATTTTGATACAAGTGGAAAATCATCTTCAAGCTTTATTTACATTCGTCTCAAGTTTTTAAGGTAAATAGGTAAATACACTTTTACACACGTTAATGTCATGTGAGAGGAAGTTCAGAATGCAGCCGCACGTCTCGTCTTTAATCGTCCACGGTTTGTTCGGGTCCAGAATGTTGGACGGACGACAGGACGAGCTGCGTCTCTTAAATACATCACCTGAACCTCAGATGTAAAAGTCCAGTTTTTTGATTTGCAGGTTGAACCACGTTGGAGACTGGGGGACTCAGTTTGGGATGCTGATCGCTCACCTGCAGGATAAATTCCCAAACTACCTGACTGTCTCCCCGCCCATCAGTGACCTGCAGGCCTTCTACAAAGTCAGTGACTCTCCGTCTTTAGCACTCAGACACAAACTCTCCGTCTTCTCTGCTGTCGTCTTCCGTCTTTCTTCCGTCGTACGCTTTCTGACCTGCTGCCCCCCTCTCTCCTCCTCCTCTTCCTCTTTTCGTCAGGAGTCTAAGAAGCGCTTCGACGAGGAGGAGGACTTTAAGAAACGAGCGTATCAGTGCGTCGTCAGGCTGCAGAGCAAAGAGCCGGACTTCATCAAAGGCTGGAACCTCATCTGTGACGTCTCCAGGAGAGGTACTCCACCTCTGACTCTATGTGTGGAACAAGAATACAACTTAATATACCATAAAATGTGTGAATGTATTACAGTCACTGCTCTTTCTAAGACTGTGGCTTTGTATTTTTCATCGCATTTTTAAAGTCTTAAAACTACGTCTGAGCGTTTTTAATTTTTGCCGGACGTGTGTTTCAGAGTTTCAGAAAGTTTACGACTGCCTGGACATCAAGATCATCGAGAGAGGAGAGTCGTACTACCAGGACCTGATGACGCAGGTGGTGAAGGAGTTTGAGGAGAAAGGTCAGTGTGCAGGAGGTCAAAGGTCACGTGTTAAAATCTTTTTTTAATGGCTCTTATCAATTAAAACCTAGAAACTAAAAACCTTTGTTACACTAAATTAGAGATGCATTCTCCCCTGTGTGATATTTAACTTTGTCTTTTGTTTTTAAGAAGATTAAAAATGTGGTTTAAATCGTTTTTGTATCAAAAATACTTTTAAGCTTTAATTCTTTCAAACTGTGTTCTGCAGTCTCCTCATTGGACCACTAGGGGGCAGCCTTGTCTCATAAATCCCTCCTCTCTCTTCCTTTCTGTCCATCCTGGTTCTATTCTCTTTTTTTAAGTGATTTACTTTCAGTTCCCTCTTTTTCTGCTTGTTCTTCTTTCATTATCTCTTCCTCCTCCTCCTCCTCTCTCTTTCTCTTCTAACCATTTACTACTTTTCTCTTTCGCTCATTTCTCTCCTCTTCTTTCTTGACCTCAGGCCTGACGCAATTCGACGAGGGTCGTAAGATCATCTTCGCCCCGGGTCAGTCCATCCCCCTCACTGTCGTCAAGTCAGACGGCGGCTACACGTACGACACGTCCGACCTCGCCGCCCTGCACCAGCGACTCTTCGACGAGAAGGCCGACATCATCATCTACGTCACGGACAGCGGGCAGGTGAGTTCAGATCAGAGACTGTAAATTAACATTTCCTCCAGAAATGAAACCATAACGTCTCAGATACAAACGTCTCGTGACGCTCGGTCAGATTTTCTTTTGTTTGTAGACTTCTCTAGAAACAATCGGTGGAGTCGCCCTCTGCTGGTCATTACACAGAATTCAGGAGTCCAGGTCCCTTTTCCATAAACCGACTCTGATTTCTTCTTCGTTGACGTGTGTGCGTCCGTGCATGTTCTTCCTCTTCCTCTTCCAGGCCACACACTTCCAGGTGGTGTTTGCTGCGGCGCAGATGATTGGCTGGTACGACCCTCAGGTGACCCGGGTGGAGCACGCAGGCTTCGGAGTGGTGCTGGGAGAGGACAAGTGAGTTACAGACTGACTTTGCAGCGACATGAAATATGTCTCATCCTCGATTTACTTGTTGGACGTGATTCGGTTTGATAACTACATCGAGACATGACTTTTTCAGAACGTCGTGTTTCTGCTGATGAAAATAGAGAATTTAAAATCTCCTGCGTCTTGAAACATGAGCTCTGTCGACGTCTTTTTGAAATAAACACGTTTGTGTTCCTGTCTTTAAAATCAATTGATTTGTTCATTTGAACTTTGTGAGCTCAATGAAACACAGATTTAACAAAGTGAGGTGAGAAAGTAAAGAGCAGGGAACAGTTCAATATGAAACTGGAGCGGCATGGAAGTGTGAAAAATCTCATTTAGGTTTTGTCATACGAAGAGTTCGGTTCTGGAAACGTTAAACTGTCTCGTCGTGTGCGGCGTCTTCCTGGAGTCTTTAATTTAAAATTCTACGTGAAGCTACTCTTCCCTCGGCTGTGTTTATTTTTTTCCATCACACTCGTGACAAGATTCTTATTGAACTCTGGGTAAGACATCAAGTTGACATGTCCCCATGTCTGTGTTTTGGACCCTGAAGACCATGAGACACGTTGATTCATGAATCCATAAACAGATGCGAGCAGTGGATGATAAAGAGCCTCTGTTAGAAATGAAACACTGGACTGTGATGGAGCTGTAACCACATTCAGACTAATAGCAGTTTAACTGGATTCCAAACCATCAGAGCAGAGACGAGCAGCGAGACTTCACCGTCCTTCACTTCGTCTTTTATCGCCTCCGCTTCGTGTTTTTATTACGTTTATTATCAAACATAAAAGCAGAAGTTTACTACACGACTGCATCGACAAATAAAAAGCAGAAGTGAAGTCTGCGTTTGAACCGACGCGGTTTCACCAGAGCACAGAGCAGCTACTCCGCACGAGGAGGAAGGAAGCTCCGCTCGGCCGTAGGTGGACGACGCTGATTAAAAGTTCAGCAACAACTTTAAAAAGATGATGTTTCGAAAAATGAAACGAACAAAAAGAAGTCAAATATCTCCAGATGAAAAGCGGAGCCGCACACGTAGAAGACACCGACAAAGACATGGAGAGACTCTGTGGGGATCAGAGCCGGTGATGATGTAAACAAAAACACGTGGCCTCCGCAGCGACAGTTACTTCCTGTCTCCGCCTGCTGCACCGCCCTCACCCGGATCCTCTGGAGGATTTGTTGTTGTGAACGTATCTGAGCGGAGAATCTCCCGCTGCGTTGTTCACGTGTGTGAGTCCCTCTGGAGGTCATGTCTGGAAACAGCTCATGTTGGACGCACAGCTCACAAACCTTTCGCCGGCTTCACACTTGTCAGAGAAAGTGTGGTTTACTCCTCCTGTCGACCTTTTCCTCCTCCTCCTTCGTCTCGTCCGTCTTTATCTCTGCTGTCACAAAAACAGCGTGGTTTCCGTCCTAGCTGAGTTTGTCCTCTCTGTTGATTAGTTGGGACTGTCGCTGCACAGACTCTACGAGTTGAAGATTTTCTGTCTCGCTGTTGTTTTCTCTGAACCAGTCGTCCGGAGGGGAAGACGAGGAGAGTCCGTGCAGAGGGAGGAGGAGGAGGAGGAAGGTTTGACGTTAGGCGACGCAGAGGCCATAACTAAGTGCTGCTAAACGCCCCGCAGTAACCTGAGGGGGCGTAAATTGGCCCCACAACGTTTGCTCTCCTCTAAACTCCATTAGAAATTTATCATGCTGTTTTCATAATCACTCAACCAGACAATAAGAGCTTAACGCAGCCACGGGGGGGGGGGCGCTTCGAGCTGCGAGTAAACATGGAAGGGGGGGGGGCTTATTAAATCTGTGTCTCATGTACTTGTACAAAACGTTTCACCCCGAGGCGTCGACGAGCAGAAATAATCTAATATTTTGTCTTCATGTTAATTGATGTGGACAGACAGTCGTTGCGTTCAGGGACGTGGAGACGTCAACGTCGTCTCTCAGGCCAAACGCCTCCGAGCACAAAACGTGTCACCTCAGAGTCTCACAATCACGTCTTGAGTTTCTCAGCTTGTACGTACGTGTCAGGGATTTAATTCTTAACGTCTTCATGTTTTAGATGGACAAACTTTAGTGTCTGTCCCAAGTGTCCTCTTTGATCAGGGTGGCTTCCTGTTCACGTTGTTTTGGGGCGAACCAGTTGTTTCTGCCGACCTGATTTTTCTCATTTTCCCGTGGACAGGAAGAAGTTTAAGACACGGTCAGGAGACACGGTGAGGCTGATGGACCTGCTGGACGAGGGACTGAAGAGGTCCATGGACAAACTGAAGGACAAGGAGAGAGACAAGGTGAGAGAGTCTGTGACGGAGGACGAGAGGCCATCTCTTTGTTCACCGCTGCTGTCACGTCCTGAATCTCTGTGATGAACCAGATGATGTTTGTTGTGGACTGTCGTCTTTCAGGGACAAACCACAGACGTGAGGTTTTTACTTTTCTAGAAAAGTTTTTACCTCGAGTCCCCAGACAAACTTTGAAAAATGAAAAGTGTAAAGACTTTAGAAAAGAAAAAAGAGTAAACAAGCTTTTGCGAAGGAAAAAAAAAATCCTGCGACAAATTATCTTAAAGTTCTGTTCGGACGTTCATGTTCCCCAGAGGATGAATCTGACTTTTCATCCTGCGACACGAGACAAGATGAACAAGAGGAACGAAAAGAGAAGACAATAAAAAAAAAAAAGTGTTCCAGTTCGCTCTCTGGAGCTGCACGTCAGCCTGAAGAGATTTAAATTGGAAGAAATTAACTTGTGTGAAACAACAAAGAAACGTCGAGGACGAACTCGGCTGCAGCGGCTCCTCTGGAGTTTCTGCTGCTGTGAAGGTTTTAAAGAGTTTTTATTTGTTAATGCAGAAGAAATTTCGGGAAATCTGCTTCATTTGTCCTCAGAATAATCACAGACACGTTCAGGCTCCTCAGTGACTCGACTGGAAACGTTTCCTGGCAGGAGACTTCACATTATTTCAGCTCAAGTTCATCTCACATCAATATTTCGTGAGAAATGTTTAATGTTTGATAAGCGGCCGTTTAGTTCAGAGAGCAGCTCATTATTTCCGCTTTACCTTCGATTTGCTCTGACGAGAATTGTTTTACAGTAACGACGTCTCCCTCTGCAGACGCCATTAATTCTCCTCATCCCGTATGAGCGGAGAAAGAGACGAACGCTGTCGGACATTTGTTCTGTTCATCTGCTGAACTCTGAGGACACCGCGTCGTTATTCTTCCTCCTCTCCTCCGTCTTTTCATCATGTGCAACATTTTTCTCACAAACCTCCACAAGTCTGCAGCCGACGCTTTTTGTTTTGTCTCTGGAAAACTTGTCCGTTTGATTCCAAGAGAAGAACTATTTGTAGCGAGAGACACTTTTTAAAAGTCACTGGTCAACTTTCTCCATTTAATCTGACGGAGATTTGTTCCCTTTGTACGACGCAAACGACGACAACTCATCTAAACACTGACGCTACCGGAGTCTGCTCAGTCGGGGGATGAGGCCAAATAAACGTTATGAACCAAATGTCTCAGAGCTTTAACGTTGTCATGGAAATCTTCGTCCAGATTGTGGCCGAACAACGTGTCATCGTTTGACAAGAAAGACGCTGAACAGATGTTTCCTTCTCGGGACGACCTATCCCAGGATTCATTGCTTGCCAGTGATGAAGCTGAAGAGCGAGCTAGCGGCCTGGCGGCCTGAGTTTGCATCACGTCCATGCGAGATACCTCACACGTCTTCTTACTCGAGTCCCAGCGTCTCTCGTCTTCTGCCTCACCGGGACGGATCCGGTTCTGTCCGTCCCTGATGTTGCCAACACAGTGGTTACCTTGGTTGCTATGGTTACTACTGATGAGGAGGAAGCCGGTTGGAGATGAACCGTGTTGTTGACCTTTGTGACCTTTGTGACCTTTGTGATCTTGTGTGTCGGCACTGACTGAACAAGAGATGAAAAAAAACGTACGGACACTTTTACAGCTTTTTCTAACTATGTACTTTTTGGCCTTTTGGCCTTTCGTTAGATTCAGACGCTGAGAGTGCTACAGGGTCCTCAGACATGTCGTCTGTTGGCTCATCTCTTTTGAACAATTACCTCTGCCTGGCTGAGGAACATCTGTCCAGCTGTGAGTAAAGACCGACGAGAGGATTCCTGGAAAATGGTTTTCATCTGAGTCGATGATAGAATAATTGGTATTTTGATAATTAACTGTTCAATCGACAATAAGAATTTTCCCGTATGAATTATTTATCTATTTATTTATTCCGCAGTCAGGTTGTGAAATGAATCCCATGCTTCTGTTTGCTCATGTTTAAAAAACGACCTGTTATATTTTACTGGCGACACGAGAGTAAAGTCAGCAGATCATCATCATCGTCATCGTCGTCTGAGGCGAAGTGTCGGGATGTTTCAGTCTGAACGACAGTCGTTGTGTCCAGAGGCAGAAATGACTGAAGAATGTTCAAGTTGGTTTCAGGAGCAGGAAGTTATATATTTTTTATTCTCCAGATTCAACCTGGAAAATGTGTGTTCAGCTCTTCTCCTCCATCAAAGGACGAAAGCTTCTGTTTTCTCTTCACGCGTCCGATCTCTGACTCGGTCGACTCCGCGTGTTTCAAGCGCCGTGTATCTGGAACTTGCAGATGGAACTCTGACCTGGTTAAGTTCTGTGTGGAGCACGAACAGTCACTGACTTCCAGTTGAACTGCGATGATTTTAATGCTAAGAAGGTTGTGAGGAACCGGTGCCAACACAGTTTCCCTGCGGACCCTCTGGCACTTTGCTCTCTGTCTGGGTCGGTGCCCACGTCTACCATCTGCTAACCCTGCCTCATTAAAACAAACCTCCGTGAACCTCAGTCTGCTCCACTGACTCTGCTGCTGTGAACATTTGTTTTCTACTATTCTGTTGTTTTCAGATCTCTTCTCTGTTTCTTCTCTTTAGTCTGTCGGACTTTTATTTTTCTCACTTTTCAAAATTCATGTGTTTCAGCGTCCTGTTGTGTCGCTGCCCCCTGACCTCTGTGACCTCTCTCACAAACTCATCCGCCCTTACACTGATATTTCCATTTTAATAGTTCAGCATCGCTGTGTTTCTGCATTTGATGTTTCAGAAAAATAAAAATCATAATAATATTCTACAGCTAGAACTTCTGTGATTCGTCCCAACAAGTTCAAGAGACGTCAAACTTTAGTGTCACTGTGAACACAAAGAATCTCATCTTTCATTTCCTGTCGTGTCTCATCGTCTCCTCTCTCTGCTTCACTTCACTTTCTGATCAAATCACGTCATTGAATCTTCTTCATCATCCTCATCTTCCTCTGTTCACTTCCTGTGGGATCAAATACGCCACGAATACGACTTCAACTCAAATCTGTGTCTTAATGAGTCAATTTAATCTTTGGCTGAGGTCAGAAAATCACTTTGATTATTTGTATTAAACTCACTGCTGTCGCTAATTAAAGCTGCAGTCATCAGATTAGTTTTTAAAGAGGTTTCATGTTGATAAGAAAGATTGTGAACTTTGTTCCTTCATTTAAAACCTTTATTAAACGAACCCGGTCTGTTTGTGCAGGTCCTGACTCCAGAGGAGCTGATCAAAGCCCAGAGGTCCGTTGCTTTCGGATGCATTAAATACGCCGACCTCTCCCACAACCGCATCAACGACTACGTCTTCTCCTTCGACAAGATGCTGGACGACCGAGGCAACACGGCGGCGTATCTGCTCTACGCCCTCACACGCATCAGGTGAGCGCACCGCCATGTTCGACCGGATCTGTGAAATCTATATCTACGCGATAAAGCGTTTAGCGTGCTACCCGTGCTGAATAGTAACAGAAGTGATGCTACAATACAATGCTAACACAATAAAGCCTAGCATAATAAAGTTAGCATTGCAATCGAACTGTTTCACAACACAGATCTATTTTGTGTGTGTGTGTGAAACATGGAGGGACGAGTTTATTTACAATCGAACACAATCCTGAAAGTTCCTCAGACACAATTCTCCGTCTCCTCCTCCACACTTCATCTCCAGCATCAGTTCATCCTCGCTGGGAGATGGTTGCAGGGGATTAATTAGTGTTTGGGGCCCCGTCAGTCGGCGAGAGCCAATCTCTTATCCTCTCACATCGAGGGAGCGTCTCCCGGCTTCGTCCTCCTCCTCCTCCTCCTCCTCTCCTGCCTCCCTGGAGGAGTTAGAGTCGGGCGGCAAAGTGCCCGGCAGAGATCGATGGCCTTGATTTTCAGCAGAGGAGGTTGAGCAGATGTTCCTGCACTTGTTTTAACAGAAGAGATCACTGGCAGCCTCCGGCCCCACACGGGGTTTTCATGACAGAATACAGAAACAGGTGTCTGCACCTTGATCCACATCGTTCAGCTCCGACACTGATGCTGTTTAAAAGACTCCAACTGTTTGTTTCTCCCCCGACAGATCCATCGCTCGACTCGCCAACATCGACGAGGTCATGCTGAGGGAGGCGGCCGAGACCACCGAGGTGCTGCTGGACCACGAGAAGGAGTGGAAGCTGGGAAAGTGCATCCTGCGCTTCCCCGAGATCCTCCAGAAGGTCCTGGACGACCTGCTGCTGCACACGCTCTGCGACTTCCTGTACGAGCTCGCCACCACCTTCACCGAGTTCTACGACAGCTGCTACTGCGTGGAGAAGGACAGACAGACAGGTATGATGGCTCATATTGTCTCCACTGAGGGGTCAGGGGTCGTACACGGCCCCCGGGGACATTCTGTCTGCAGAGCTCCTCCCCTTTCACCTGTTTATTTGTCTCCTGGCTGAGGCGGAGCTGAAACCTCAGACTGACCCTCCCCCTCCCCGTGATTCTAAAGGAGACAACACTAGTAGTGTCGGAGTTCTTTCCTCCAACAAGACTAACGACCTCTCAGCATTTTACAGAAAGTGAGAGATTCGCCCGTTTTCCTGAATCCTTGAAAATTTAACGGAGATCGGTTCAGTGGTAGTTCTGTGTTGAGCTCTGACTGTGCCGTCCCACTCATATATGCTGGATATTACCCACGATCCTCTGCTTCCTGACCAGAATTCTCTGGTGAATCTTCAGCTATCGTCTCATATTCTGAAAGAGGTCGTTCAAAATAACGTTTTTGTTTCCACATAAAAACAGAACTTCGGTTTGTTTGAAGGTCAAAGGTGAGACGAGAACGAGCGGCGAGACTCAGCCACTTAACAGGAAGTCTGTCTACGAGAGGGTTTTCACTAAAAGCCCTCCACTCGTTACTGAGGGGTTTTATCCCCGCGGTGCTCTGGAGTGCTTCTCTTCAGGCTCAGAGATGTTTAATTATGCTAATGCACAGTTAGCGATGCGGCAGCAGCCGCAGCTGGAGGTTATTATTCGTCATTTTGGAACAGTTCAGATTGATGAGAGGAGTTAGAACCAACAGACACAGATTCAAAGTCGGGGAATAAATTAAACGGAACTGTGAATGTGATCATGTTGAGAAAGTACATCATCAGCAACAAGTCGCAAAAAAACAGAATCCTCCGTTTTTCTTAGTTTGATCCGTGTCCTCTGGTCCGCCGGGGGCGTCCACAAACCTTTGGCCACATGCTTTAATTTCCGGATGTTTTCGTATCGAGAAGCTGCAGATTTCCAGGTCGTTGGTTTTTGTTCGTGTTAAATGACGGGAGCATTGTTTGAATGTGCCCCCCCGACCTCTGGTTGTCTGTTGATATCGTTCTGTTCTTCACCTCCGACTGATTCTCTTCTGTCTCTTTCTTTCACTCTGTTTCCGTCTTCTTTTCCTTCGTCCCCTTTGTCTCTTCTCGTCTTTCTTCATTAACTCTGCTGCTGCTGATAAATGAAATGAATTCAATCCGACGGTCTCCTCTGTGTCTCCAGGTGAGGTGATCAAGGTGAACATGTGGAGGATGCTGCTCTGTGAAGCTACGGCCGCCGTCATGGCTAAAGGCTTCGAAATCCTGGGCATCAACCCCGTCCACAGGATGTGATGTCAGAATGACCCGCTCGCTCCACCCGCCTCCATCTTTGTCCTTCTGCTTCCACGTTCACCAGAAACGGTGCAAAGATTAAAAAAACTGGACTGAAGTGACCGAACTTTATTTTCCACAGAATCAATTGTTTCTATCCCACAACCTCGAATTAAATCTCCTGTTAAAGATCTTTTTTATTAAAGAGCCGAGATGAAACCAAACATCACAACAGTCCGATCGCCTCGTTTCTTAATCTCAGTTTAAAGAATCTGTGCCTGGAACTCCGTGTCGATCCTGTGAGATGTGAATGAGCAGCGTTTCAGTGTGAGTGACCTTCAAACACTTCATTTAGTTTCTTCTCTTCGTGTGAGAACTTTGTTTTTAATGCTGGGAAATTAAAATCCGTTCGACCTGATGTTCGAACTCTTCCAGAGGACAGAGGGGTCAAGATGCCGTCAATCTGTCTGGAAGAGATAAATCTGTAATGTTGTTTATAAACTATACAGTCAAAAAGTTTCCCACCGAAGGTCTGACGGAGATCAGCTCGTTGAATTTCACATCAGGAAAACTTTTGGTAAAAGTTGGTCAGTTTAATTATCCGAACATTTTCACATCCCTGTGATTTATTCAGAGTTTCATGGATCCTCTCCATCGAACCTTTAGGTCTGTGATTCTTCCCTTCGCCGTCCACAACCTAAATCAAGACGGACGACGAGACGGCTCCCAACAGCCAAGACATCTCCTCCTCTGTGTTAGCAAACGGGACACGGAGCAAACTAAAAAAAAAATCAAAGTAGAGTTTAAATCAATGTTTTCTCTTTATTTTTGCCGTTTCTAACATTGAAAGAAGTTTGCTCGAAGTTTTAATCACGTGTAGAGTTTGAGGATTGTTCTGAGTTTTAACTCTAATTGTTTTTTCCCTTCACCTCAAACTTCCTCCCACACTCTTCACTTTCAGAACGTCGCTCTCGATAACTGCGGTTCTCTGGTGAGAGTCACCGTTCTTTGTTCGAGGAACTCAAAGTGCAGCTGGAACAAGCGTCCATACGATGAAGTTAATTATACATCACACGCTCTCCGAGGCAGCAGCCTGTAATCGTCACATCGTCTCCTCCCATCCGACACTCGTGCGCTTCCATAGATATGAAAGCTTCAGGAATCACCACAACTGTTTCGTGCCCAGCGGATCGTTGTATTCAGGAAACGTGTGCGTGACCCATTTCTGAACATTGAAACACGGATATCTACTCTGCTCTGGTCGTCTCTCATCGTCTCATGCGTCTCGGCACTTTATGTTGGTGTCCCAACCTTCTTTGAGGGAATAAATCCCACAGCAGCTTCATGAAACATTCATCGTGTCTGTTTTTACTCTGCTGCCGCTGAAGAACGGTGTTAAAGGTGTTTTGACAGTCGCTCCAGGAGGAGGAAGAGTCGCCACGGTAACACCTGAGGAAGAAATAACGTCCCTGACCTCAGCGGGAGCCACAGATCTCCTCCCCTGATGGTCCCTGCTGATATTTACTCCGTCGTGTCTCGGTGGATTTTACCTGTGGTTTCAAGAAGCTGCCTGCAGAGACTGAAGGGGTGGAGTTTGGGGGCCTCCTGGTGGTTCAGCGGGGAGGTGCAGACTCAGGTGGGTAACACCACTCAGCTGTGAGTTCTTAACGCTGCACTAATCCACATTTTTCTATGTGAGCCGAGTCGCTCTGAACTGAGAAACTCAAAGAAAATGATCATATTGTTCAGATACGTGAAAGTTCTTCACCCTTTTATTTAACGTGAACAACGTGAGTCTCGTGTGAATTTGTTCTCAGAACATCTGAGTTCAAGCCCAAGAAAAAAGTTGGAACTGAAGAGTTGGCGCTGGAGCGCGAGCCAGTAGGGGGCAGCAGAGTGACTCACAGCGTCGACGTCACCTCTGCTGTTGATGAAGAAACGCAGCGACGTGACGGTCGGTGGAGGAGGAGCGGTTGATTTCAGCTGCTGGATGTCGTCTGATGTTTACATGACGTGAAAAAAGCTCCAGAGCTTCAGCGTTAGTTCGTCTGTGAAATCAGCTGCTCAGACTTTCACGTGATCGAACCCGTGATCTGCAAACTTCACACAAACTGAGTTTAACCTTTGACCCCGAGTTCAACCCAATTATCACGGAGTTTAAGCTCCGGATGGAGGGAACAGACGATACAGAAATTAAAGCCGCCTCCCGGCACTTTGCTGCTCCTGTTATTTCTAATTTGCATAAATTATTCCTCTTCCTTAAAATCCGACCACGACGTCCTCGCCACCAGAAGTTGTTTTGCCTCGCGTCGCGTCGCTCGTGTTTTATCAGCGTTTTAAAGATCTGATCTCGGAGATGAATCCATGAGATATGGAAATAAGCTTCATGCACATTAGTTAAAGAGGAGTCGACTCCATCGCATCGTCAGACGTGTTCATCTCTGGTGCTTCAGTGCCACCGTACCTCCCCCCCCCC